GTTGTAAATGTTTAATAAACGCGAGTAGTGAATGAATAAATCTTACGATTTAACCAACGTCCAGTTAATCGTTAATATATTGGATTTGTGGAAATTATAAAATCTTCATAGTTCAAATCACTGACTGATCTTAGCTAGACCACCATTGAGAATCTGAAAGCTCTGGACGGTCATTTCTTTATAGTATAGGACTTCTTAACATTACACATCTAGGAATCGAACCTAGAACCTTCGGCTTCACGCGCGAACACAATCTGTATACGTCTTACTCCAGTCAATTTACAATATTACGCAATACTAATCCATTGCCTGCAGTAGATAACTGTCTCACACTTAACATCGTTCCATAATAAAACGAGGATCCTGTGCAATGCTTCCAGGTCTTCAATGATGATCTACCTGATATCAGTTCGTGATTTAGAGTTATTCACTTAAAATAAACCTTAAACAGAGAATTTTTTTTCGAGATATTTACCTAAACGGTTATCCGAGAAGCTTAGATAGACTGCCTTTATGAAATAAATGAATCGTAATTACTAATGGAATTTAGGATATGCGTTTCATTTGACACTCATCAGGTAGATGTAATTGTCTGTCTTTCAGTGTTGATATTCACACTGAAACTTCATAAAATCCTTACAGTATGAACATATATCATGGGATATTAATCAAGTTAAAAAAAATCATGGCGAGATTGTAATTTATGGACGAACCAATCAAGTATAAGATAACAGGTTTCGGATTTTGGCGCGAAATTCACTCATCCATTTGACTAAATGGAATCTTGTCATTATAGCTGATATCAGTTCGTGATGAAAACCCTATATCTAATTCCTAACCTTAACCATCAACCATAAATCATAATTCGAATCCCTCACAATATTTCATAGCCCTCATTTGGTCCTAGTTATTTGGTGGACACTCTCAGGGTCAGTCTAGCGTCGCTCAACGATCATCCATAGAATGTAGTCTCGTCTAAATCATCTATTTTTGTTCATTCACTTGTTTTTTTTTGTTTTAAATTCTTTTCTTTCTTTCTCTTTTTTTAATTTAGCTATTTTCAATTAGCATGGACTAATGATGTAGAAAGTTTAGAGAATTTAGCTATGAGAACAATAACTGTACCAAATTTCATTGTTTTAAATCCTGTTACACATGAATTATTTGTATATTTATCAAATCACTATTCATCATATTCTTTATTATTTGATGAAAATAATTTAATTAATTTTTTAATGCTTATTAATGACGGAAAGATTAAAGTAAGAAAATCATTGGGTTTGTTTATTTATTTGTTTGTTGAATGATTTTAAAATAATTATATTCAGAAGGGGTTTTGTGGAGATTTTAGAAATTTCAATAGTTGAAATCATGAGTCAATTGAAGCTAGACCATCATGGAAAACCTGGAAGCACTGGATGGCTGTTTCGTCCTAGTATAGGACTACGTAGCAGTGCGCATGACAATAATCATCTGCTTACTAGTGACTGACTTCAAGAGGCATTTCCCGGAGTTTTAGTGAGAAACCGTTACCAGTGGAGTTTAACCAGGTCGGTTGTGAGATATCAGCTGACTGAAGACAATGGTGTACGGTGGTGCAATTTCGTGGATTGGTTGAAGTTAGACATTAACACCGTTGGATGCCAGCTCAGTGGTCTAATGGTTAGGCGCTCGCGCACGAGACTGATCGGTCCTGGGTTTGAACCTCATGGGGCGGGATCGTAAATGCTCACTGCTGAGGAGCCCCATACTAGGACGAAACGGCCATCCAGTGCTTCCAGGTTTCCCATGGTGGTCTAGCTTCAATTGACACATGATTCCAACTACTGAGATAATTATGTGTTCGAAAGTTTATTGGTTTGTTTCATAAACTCTGAAAAAATGTTATGGAAGTTATTTTAATTTGCAAGTAGTATGTATTCTGTTTATTTATTTGAACACATAAATATTAGTACAAAAAGGCCACGAAAACATATACCCCACATTAGTCACTTGATTTGTATGTGGGCTGTGATACTGCCCGGGGTGCCCAAACCGAAATAGGTGGTTTCCTTAGGAAGCCATGCCCGGAGCCTTCGACCTGAAGGTCCGGTCCATAAGGCAGTGCAGCAATGTCAGGAGATTCAGTCCCATGGTAACCGGTGACCAACGATTGGTTCATACGCCATTTGTTCCCTCAGGATATTGGAGCCCACGCTCACCATTGGTTTGGAATGAGGGTTTTCCAACTCCCCTAGGTGGATCCTCCGTATCCACCAACCCGGTTGAAGCGTTGGACATTCGCTCTTCGTCCTCTCAATTCCGTAAACAACGGTAATGTCGCGAGAAGGCAGTGAGTAGGTTTTTCTCTGCAGTGCTTGTATACACGTGGCCATATGAGAGCATTTTGAGAGGTAGAGTGGACTCTCCCCACCCTCGGTCGTACCAGGGCATCATGACAGATTGATTTGATAAATTCTGTTAATGCTGGAATTGTAGCATTGAATGCTGATTTAGTGGTTTTGATAGTTAAGTGTTTGTTGTATGACCTGAAAGTCTTGTGTTGCAATGTGTGGTAGGGTCTTGAGAGTGTAGTTTCGAAGAGTCCTATACTAGGACGAAACAGCTATTCAATCCTCTTTTGTTTTTAATGGTTTTTTAAATAAGATCAATATATGACTGGTAATACTTACTACATATTCATTTATAACCCTATTAAGTGTATCATATTATCATGGTTGGATATTTTTAATATATAAATAGCAGTTGTAAAAATACCCCACAGTATTGTTATGCTCAATCAATCGTTGACAAGTGATTTTATCTTATGATAATTAGTTGAGTTAAGTTTAATGGTTTGATAATCAATCTTGTACATAAACCATCCATTCGTAAAAAGTGAATTGATCTTTGCCACTGCAACCGATTCGAACTCATATCATTCAATTACTTCAAACACTGATCACAATCATCACCCCGAATCCCAGCTAAGAAGTTTACAGTCGCATAATGACTCAGACCAATAGTCAATGATGGTCGCGCGTATACGGCCTCTGTCAGGGAAGTCCTACTCACTGCCTTCTCATGGCGGGGGTGTTGTTTACGAAAATGAGAGGACGGAAAGCGAATGTCCGGCGCATTAACCGGATTCCAAATCAATGGTGCACATGGGCACCAGTATCCTGCGGAAACAAATGGCGTATGAATCAATCGTTGGTCACCGGCTACCATGGGACTGCATCTCCTTACGATGCTCCACTGCCTTGTGGGTTAGACCTTTAGGTCAAAGGTTCGGGGTGTGGCCCCCTAAGATAACCACCTGCTTCGGTCTGGGCACCCGGGCAGTGTCGCAGCCCACACGCAATTAATGAACTGAACTGTCTATGATCATGGAAACTAATTCTCTTGCTTCGACGAACATTCAAATGATTCAATTATTATTATTATTATTTACTACGTCATTATTCACCCTCTTTTATTCCTACTCTGTCTATACTTATTTTTTTTCGACTTATACAGCAGCTCGTCTATGGTGGAAATTCGACTGTATCTAAACGCTCTCGAGTCACTGTCCGGTTGAAAATTGTATGTTTCCACTGAATATGAGTACTGAAGCAGTTTTTCTGAAACCACGTGCACCATTCAAACTGGCTGCCTTCAACGTTCGCACATTTATGCAAGTCGGACAACAGATAGGGCTGGCTATGTCTTTAGAAAGTCTTAATATTGATATTTGTTGTCTATCCGAGACCCGTATTCAAGACTGGTGAAGCACTACTAGTTCGATCTCCATCTGTCGCTCCGAAAAGCTTGTTTTACGTGCGCTTATCCGGGGACCCTGTGGCATCTTCGTCTGGTCTTGCTGGCGTTGGTGTCGCACTAAGCGCTAGAGCTGAGGCAGCACTAATCGATTGGATCCCCATTAACAGTCGGTTATGTGCTGTTAGATTAGAGAGTTCCATCAAAGTGAGAAGAAATCGGCGTGAGAAACGATGTCTCTTCGTCATCTCCGCCTATGCCCCGGCAGATGGCAGCCCGGATGCAATCAAGGATGAGTTTTACCACCAGTTATCTGTTCTTGTCCAGAAAGTGCGTTCGACAGATATTGCAGTACTAGCCGGAGACTTGAATGCTCAGGTCGGGCGTCTAGGCACAGAGTAGGGTCGTTTAGGTGGCCGATGGGGACTTGTGAAACAATCTGCGAGGATGATGGGATGCCAATCACTAACATCCATCGACGTCTTGGACGATGGGCAGAATTTTTCGAAGGGCAGTTCAACTGGCCTGCTGCTCCGGCAGCACCGGTCAGACTCCTTCCCTCCATGGCCGGTGACGACTGGTTCACCAAATGAGGCGGAAATCTGCAAGGAACTCCAACTCTTGAAGCGTTACAAATCACCTGGCCCAGATGACTTACCTCCGGCTCTTTTTAAAGATGGTGGTGACTTTTTGACTAAGGAATTGACGACATTGTTTACAAAGGTTTGGGAACTGGAGAGTGTACCAACGTCATGGAATGAGTCGATAGTTGTCCCTATCTTTAAAAAGGGTTCACGTCGTTCCTGTAACAACTATCGGGGGATAAGTCTACTTCCGATTGCGTCCAAGCTATTGGCTTCCGTCATACTTCGTAGGTTGTTCAAAACCCGAGAAAGATTGACTCGCGAGGGGCAGGCTGGTTTTCGTTCTGGTCGAGGATGTATTGATCATATCTTCACCCTCCGCCAAATGTTAGAACACCGCCATACTTATCAAAGGCCAACAATCGTAGTGTTTCTTGACATCAGGGCTGCCTTCGATTCGTTGGACAGGACTGTTCTCTGGGATTGTCTATTGAAGAAGGGTGTGCCTGAGAAGTTTATTAACATCCTAAAAGCCCTGTATAAAAACATCTCAGGCAGAGTGAGGGCATACAACCACCTCTCTCCATTGTTCCATTCGAGCAGTGGAGTTAGGCAGGGTTGCCCAATCTCACCATTCCTCTTCAACTTTGCCATCGATGACATTCTAGAAACAGCTCTGATGAATGTAAGTAATGGTGGTGTGGATCTGTTGCCTGGAGAAAGACTTCTCGACCTTGAGTATGCGGATGATATTGTTTTACCGTGCGATAATACCCAAGGCATGCAATGCGCACTTAATCAGTTGGCAATCAGTGTCCGTAGGTATGGTATGTGCTTTGCACCTTCGAAGTGCAAAGTACTTCTACAAGACTGGCAGGATCCTAATCCTGTACTCACCCTAGATGGTGAGCAGATAGAAGTAGTCGAGAAGTTCGTGTATCTGGGTAGCAGCATAAGTGCTGGTGGGGGTGTGAGTGATGAGATCAATGCACGTATAGTGAAAGCTAGAACGGCTTATGCCAATCTGGGCCATCTTTGGCGCCTTCGTGATGTTAGTCTGGCCGTAAAAGGTCGGATTTACAACGCGTCGATGAGAGCAGTTTTGCTCTATGCTTGTGAAACCTGGTCTCTCGGAGTTGAGGACGTTAGACGACTCTCTGTGTTCGATCATCGTTGTCTCCGAAGGATTGCTGACATCCAGTGGCAACACCATGTCAGTAATGCAGAGGTTCGGCATCGTGTGTTCGGACACAGAGATGATAACGCAATCGGTGTCACCATCTTGAAACACCGACTTCGGTGGCTTGGACATGTTCTACGAATGTCGTCACAGAGAATTCCACGTCATGCATTATTTGCCGACTCTGGGACTGGTTGGAGAAAGCGGAGAGGTGGTCAGTATATGACATGGTGTCGTGGTATGAAAGAAAGCTGCAAAGGGCTGGCTTGTGTCGGTCCTTCACGACTCCCTGGTTGGGGTCTGAGAGATGGTGCTACCCAGTGGCTAGAGACGTTATCAGATATGGCTCAGAATAGAAGCCAGTGGCGATCCTGCTGTAACATTCTTTTACTTTCTTCATAAAACGTGGTTGTATCTTCCTTAACTGAAATACTTCTTCTGATTGTACCCTTCTGTTCTTCTACTACTACTATTATTATTACACTACCTTACACCAATCTCTTCGTTATTGTTTTCTTTTTAATATTTTTTTACGTTCCCCACTTTTTTCTTTTTCTTCTTAAATTCTCATTGTTTTGTGTGGCGCATACATATTTGGCGCACTCCTGTACCAATATTTATGTGTTCAAATAAATAAATAAATAAATTAGTATTTATGCGTTAATGCATCAGACTAGAATATCTTGATTGTGTATCTATCCTACTTCTATGTCTATCCTATTATCCTGTAATTGAATACAATCGATTTGACCAAATATAGGTTTGGAGCTACAATCTTGTTATTCAGGACAGTTGATGCTATTATCCATCTATCTAAATCAGTGTTGATAAAGGATTGTTCATAATTACAAATCTTTTTTTTTTCAAAGTTTGGTATTTTAACGATCATTTATGTGTGAACCACCAATAAAAAAATCTAATTGATAATTCTGATTATAAGATTAGCTAGTAAATCTAAGATCTTAACAGACTGAATTTGTAGCAAATGCTCACCTATTCAATACTCTATTAAGTAAGTTTATTTGATAAGTATCATTTCTTGAATTAAATGATATTTATATAAGATTATTTGATTATGATATGATTTGTAGCTGACATTTATTGCACAACATGTTTATAGGGGTTTAAATTGATCTATTATTGATATTAAGAATTACATTTCATTAATCTCTATTTCTATATTATCAGAAAGAGTTTTATGGAGATTTTAGTAATTTCAATAGTTGAAATCATGAGTCAATTGAAGCTAGACCACCATGGATGCGCACTGCTGAGGAGTCCCATACTAAGACGAAACGGCCATCCAGTGCTTCCAGGTTTTCCATGATGATCTAGTTTCAATTGACTCATGATTTCTATTACTATATGTCAATAATAATTGAATCGCCTTCAAATTCATGTTTTATTGAAGTTTGTTTGTAGTTAGTATGGTAATCCAGGATGGTAGTTTCATACTACTGTGAACTCTTTATCTAAATGTATTTATATCGTAACTTTAATGTTTATTTTGAATTTATGAACTAATTGTATGGTTTTCTAGTTGACTAGTACTCAATTGAATGAAATATACATTCTAGATTACACTATTCGTCATAATTCAACTTTACTAAGGCTTTAATTCATATCTTATGTTAAATGTGATAGTAGTAACCAGTTTTTATGTTACATGCTTATTAAAATAAACAAAACACTATTTCTATTTCTTTTGTAAAACATATGAACTAGGGTATTGGAGGTAATACAATTTCAATAAGACTACAACGTTTAGGATATAATTTTCTTATCGGTTTCTCGGTAAGTTTATTTAAATAGAGTTTAACTATTGACGAAATTCTTCATGTTGTAATTCATTATAAAACCACTTTTTTCTACAAAATATCTATGTTTCACTGTTTTAGACAGCATTCTTGATACTTAGTTGATTAATCTATGATTTTCAATCCTTCTGAATGTCTAGATGATGTATGTATTTTCTTCAATAGATTACACGCTAACAAAAAGTAGTATCCTTTTAAATAACCCTTTCAATAAATATACTTGAATATTTAGTCTAGATAAGACTATAATCTATGGATGGTCGTTGAGCGACGCTAGACTGACCCTGAGAGTGTCCACCAAATAACTAGGACCAAATGAGGGCTATGAAATATTGTGAGGGATTCGAATTATGATTTATGGTTGATGGTTAAGGTTAGGAATTACATATATGGTTTTCATCACGAACTGATATCAGCTATAATGACAAGATTCCATTTAGTCAAATGGATGAGTGAATTTCGCGCCGAAATCCGAAACCTGTTATCTTGTACTTGATTGATTGATTCGTCCATAAATTGTAGTTTCGCTTTAGTCTACATCCAACCATCTTGGCTGGTTAATTTATCACGTGATATGACCGCCAATCCCAATACGGCTTATACAATTTACATATAATATACAATACATATATATAATCTAGTTACTTAACAGTTATATAATCAAGTTATATAATAGTCTATAAATAATTCTCGGAAGTTACCCATAATCTAATCTTCGTTGGAATATAACATTAACATGATTTGATGTAATTGATTGTTATTTCCATCAAATGTTAATAATATTTAGTGGCTCGTGGATCTGATCTGACTCCAAGATCGTATAGATGTTTGCTATCGCTGATTCTCGTATACCATCGTCGACTTAAATCGCGTTATCCAATAACGGAATTAAATATGTCGAATAACGAGAATTGACTTGAGAATACATATATTTCGTACATGAAACGAATGAAACATAGCAAAGCAAAATGACACGCAGGGAAGATGGCTAGGAAGCCAACTCCATCTTTGTCAAGCGTTACTCAATATTTATAGTCAGATAAAATAAAGCTACAGACATGTGATTAATGGAATAAGAAGGGCACACACATATACGCTCATATAAAAACAGTCTAGATTGATAAGCGAATAAATAACAAGGTCAATGTATGGCTCAAGTAAAATGAATAGAATGGGATGTCCGAAAGCTCGAATAAGGTATATGGGCTTGGCATAATAACTGACACTACAAATACTTTGAATACATTATGTTCAGATAACTGTAAAAATAGTGAACTGTTTAGATAAAATGCTTGTTTCATGATTCAAAGATAAATCATTGATATCCACTTTAAACGATCTTTTAAAGATTTAACAGAGAGAAGCTCACAATGAACATTTCCTTAACAAGTTTTCCATCATTAGATATGGATTTTAAACTGCAGTAGAGTACCTTTTAACTTGACTTTTCCTACTCGATTCTTTTCTATGAGGGTAGAATCAGCAACATTATTAAGGAGAGAAGTATAAAATTACTTTGAACCCAATGAATTAATCGGATTGGTGAGAAACGTAGATAAACGGGATATGCAGTCAGTTTACATAGATAGTACACTAGTAGTTGACAATATTTGTTTAAGCTAAGAAATGTGCAACAAGCTTCCATGTCGACCACTACGTCCTTCTTCCTTAGAGCTAGTTGTTATTCGGTAAGCAGTGTATTTACGGCAAGATTTAAAACATTTGAAGCGCCTATTAATTATTTAAAAAGTGGTTTCAATTTTTCTTCACACTTTATGATCCAAAATCGATTGCAAAGAAACTAGGAATATTGTTACTGATAAGCTGAATACTCGTCTTTTGTTAATCGTTATATTTATTGGATACTTATTTGTACGCAAATAATGGATAGATTCGTCCTAAAGCGAGTCTTTACAGTAAATAGTAACCAGAAACAGAAGTTGATGAAAACTTTCTTAAAAAATGAAATAGGATCCCGGAAATGACTCTCATTACCTTCGTAGTATTTGTCATATGTTGTGCTTGCCCATCTGAGTTTAGAAGTCAAAACCACCTTACAGTTAACAGTCTGCTTTACTGATCTTATCAAGCTGATGGCATCTCCATCCATCTCGTCTTTACCCTTTGGGCAACTTATCCAGTGACTTTTTAACAATGTCATCTATACGATCGAACTGTGTTACTAATATTTCCATAGCTTTCTGAAAGTCTAATTCATCAAGTTAAACCACTCAATTTCTAATAGCTTCTCTAGTCTTTCCTGGACGATGTGATGTTAAACAAGGTATCTGTTACAAGGAGAGCGGCGGAAACTATCATTAAGTTTCTTACAAATCACTACAAATTTGTTGATGAACTATTAAACTTAATTATAAGCAAATATGGAATAGTGGCTGGCAGTGGTTATACGCACAGTATGCACATATGCCAATAACAGACTGATCAATTTCAGTCCTAAACATCGATGGGAAGATTCAAGTAAAACGATACCAGTTGTATTAAACTTAATGTCTAGATCAAGTAGTTTTCTGTAGGATTGAGTAGGTCTTTCGAATTGCTCTATCTAGGGTCGGCCCCGTATGATGGAGTAGTCTAGTACGAAAACAAAACATCTGTCCAATGTCTCTTGGTTTTCAATAGCTATGTAACTAAAATCACTTCCTGATATAAATTATGAAGTTTGACCATCTCCTCAGATTCTTATAGAATTAGGTGTTCTATGTATCTATGTACTAAAGATACAATTCACCGTAACTTTCAAATAATGTATAATAGATACTTTCATCTATCGTCACTGTTCTTTTCATTTTCTATCAAATAAACAAGAAATTCCTCACTACTCGACCATTGTTTGCACTTTTAATTCTTGGAGTACCAGCATTAATGTTCAGTGGAATTATCTACTTATGTTGTTGTTTGGACGCAAGGTATGCAACTTATGATGACGGTGAAGATGACCAACTTTCTAATTACGGCATTTACCATAAAGCATATTCAAATCAAAAGATTATTGGCATTGATAATTCCACTGGTGATAGATCAATTATCGACTCGAATTCAAGCTATTTGGATACTACTAGTAGTAGCAGCAGTGGTATTAGTGTCAACGCAACGAAGGCTGTTCATTTTCGAGATATGCATAATTCTCCTCCACGTCGACGATATCGTCATGAAGTTTTGCATAACAGCAATAAAAATATTCAAAATATTGGTAAGTTATGGCCATATCATTAATTTACTTAACGACTGACTTGTTATTCTTCTGCAGTTATGATACTGTTTTCAAATGTTTCAATGTTTGATTACTGAGTGAAAAAAAACACTGACTTGATAATTCTTGGACCGCCAACTTACGGCTACGTGGAGTAGTGGCTTGCTGATTAAGATGTTTGACTTTCACTTACTAATTCGCAGGTTTGGACCATGATCCTTTTACTCTAGCTAACCCGTCATCAAGATAGAACCAGTCACAGATATGGGCTGGTTCAAGTTGCCATATCGTATTAACACGACGAGATGAAATGAACAAACAGATAGAGATAATGTGATAGCAATGAAAATGAGAAAGAGTGAACATTGGGAATATGGCTTGAAAAGACAGAGTGGAAAGGGTATGTATGGCGGAATACTGGAAGTCAAGATTGAGCGCTATTATGAATCATTCTGAGTCATGTCACTTCAGTCGATGGGACCGAGTAGATGTGCTGTAATGTTCAGCGTACTTTGACTAAAATTATAGTTCTAATATGAATCTGTAACTTGTGGGTTTCAATAATATCGGGCATAAGACATCAATTTTACAATGTTATGTGT